TCACTCACCCTCCAAAGCTGGTTTCATTCGGCGCCTCCTTGGTCACTTCGCCCTCGCCGTTCCACTCAAAGTTCTCGCCATCCGATAGACTTGAGCACTGGCTGCGCTGTTCGCCGTTGCTGTGATTGCTGGACTGGTTGCTGTCGCTGGACGTCGGCGTCAGCACAAAATGCGTCTTCGGCGGTTCCGCTGGTACTGAAGCCGCCTGTATCGGTGACATCATGCCGTCCTGAAATCACACCTGATGTTGAAATCTACATGTTCATTTTGATGAATGGATGTGGATTTTGCAGTGTTTGGTGGGCGCAACCAGTGGCGGCTCTTGCTCTCTACAACCAGAACCCCGCCGTATTAGTCAACAATGGCGTGGAATTTACCTGAAGACTAATTGTTTATCAAGCTTCTTGTTACGCAACACTCACACTAATTATGTGGTCTTTAGATAGGGGAATATTCAAAACGGTTCCACCTGCTGCCTTCAGTGCAAACTGCAAACCCTTAACTAAACTAAACAACTGAACAGGTTGCCCTAGCGGTTGGTACCTTTTTCTTGATGGTACCCAGGCAAGCCCCATTATAGGTCAAAGAGAAACATTTAAGATCTATAGGCTGTGCCATCTGTAAAGCGCAGGTCGAACCAGTTGATTGTTGCCGCCACTCTTCGGTGACATTTCCATTGTACATGCACTCAACATTCTTGAGCACAGGTAGTAAGCTTGGCTGACTCATACATGATGGAATTGCCACAGCGTTGCCACAAAAGGTCTTTCGATGGTTCGCTCTCTTTAAGGTGCTGGCATGCGAGATCAACCTCTTTGGCTCATTTGAGCACAGTCTCTCGGTTTAGGAGGTTTACACCATAGAGAAAGTTCAAGAAAAATATAGAAATTGAGATGCTCTATCTGAAATGTTATTACGGAGCAAACGATATCTTCACCCATTTCTGAGATACGCGCATTTGAACTTTGTCAAAATGCCGCGTTTTCGCTTGTAACTCGTTAAAGGTTAGGAATTTCTGATAAAACCCCAGGAGTGAAATGTAGCCTTTAAAGCGCTCTATCTGAACGGTCATTAGGGCGCATCAGCTATTTTCACCTGTTTCTGAGATACGCGCTTTTGAACTTTGTCGAGTATTCAAAATGCCGCGTTTTTTGCTTGTAACTCTTTAAAGGTTAGGAATTTCTAATGAACCCGCAGAGTGAAATGTAGCTTTTGAAGTACTCTATCTGAAAGGTCATTAGGGGGCATCAGCTATTTTCACCTGTTTCTGAGATACGCGCTTTTGAACTTTGTCGAGTGTTCAAAATGCCGCGTTTTTGCTTGTAACTCTTTAAAGGTTAGGAATTTCTAATGAACCCCCAGAGTGAAATGTAGCCTTTAAAGTGCTCTATCTGAATGGTCATTAGGGGGCATCAGCTATTTTCACCTGTTTCTGAGATACGCGCTTTTGAACTTTGTCGAGTATTCAAAATGCGGCGTTTTTGCTTGTGACTCTTTACAGGTTAGGAATTTCTGATAAAACCCCAGGAGTGAAATGTAGCTTTTAAAGTGCTCTATCTGAAAGGTCATTAGGGCGCATTAGCTATTGTCACCCGTTTCGGAAATACGCGCATTTGAACTTCGACGAGTATTTAAAAATTGTCGCATTTTCGCTTGTAGGCATTTTTGTTTGACACCTCAGTAGTGAAATGTATCCTTCGAGAAGCTCTGTCTCAAAGATCATTTTACGGCCATTTTCACCTGTTTCCGAAACACGCATGAATGATGGGCTAGTTAAATGGGCACGTTTTTGCTTGTAACTCTTTTAAGGTTGGGAATTTGGATACAACCTCAGCCCTCAATTGAAGTCTTTGACATGCTCGATCTGAGAGATTCTGACGACTCAACAGTTTCTGAGAGACGCAGATTTAAACTTTGTAAACTTAAACTGCGTTTCTGCTTGCCCCTTTTTACAGGTTGGACATTTCTGAGAAATCCGTTGCTTTACGTAATGTCGCAATGACAGTGACATTCGTCTTAGCGCGCTCCTCCTTCCGCTCGTTTAAAGACAGTCGACCTTAGCCATGACACTGACGTGTACCAATATACGCCAGAACTTTCGTAATTAGAAGGAAATCGCGTGCTATTTGACAACGTCGTTGGACGCAAATGTGGAATCCTCGCAGTGGTACCGCTCGGTACCAGCACCGACCATCGTGGTAAAATAACAAATACAGAGAGATACTTTTACTTTTTGGTGCCCACGATCGGTGGTAGCCATCAAAGGTGAAGAGAATAATTTTGCAATGTTCTCGTTACATGTACCTATATTGGCTGGTGCTTAAAGAACCGCTTGATTAGGCCGCATTGCAGCATCTTCAACTAACTGCAACAGGCCAAGTGTCCACTTGGCTCGGATAATCTAATAGGAAAAACGGGGAAAGTAGGTGGATTTTGTTGAAATGTCGAGCGCCGGGATATTTTAAATAGAAGTTAATCGGATCAGTCCAGTCAGTCTGAGGGTTTTGGTTGGACTGGAATGTTTCTTTTTGAAGCCATAAGTTGCGTGTTTCGCTTTCCTTTGGGCAATTAGGGGGAAAGCACATGGTCAAGTGCGGTAATTAGGGCCGATTTCTTTTCTGCCAATGATTGGTATAATTGAACGAAAAAATTCCGTGCAGCATATCCGCGGCTTGGTTATTACGGTATCGATTAATCCCGATGGCGCATTTGGAACAGTAACATTTACCGTTCAACGAGCACTAATCTCGTCGAGGATTTTTTCATAATTAACCAATTGATTGAGTTGAAGCCCTAATGGGCCCTTGAAACCCGACTTCTGACCTCAGCCAATTGCGAAAACAAAGAAATTCGCTTTTCTGTTTAATTATTCCGATCGTTTTGTGCGTGACTTCACAATGCCAGAAACGCGCAATTGTTTATGAATATGTTGGCGATTTCTCTTCGCTTGTTGCATTTCAACGTGAGTCACAAGCTGCAGTAGAATTTTTGTTAATTGTCCGTGCCGTCATGGTTTCGCGACTGTCCACGCCATCATCTTCTGGTTTCTCGACCATGAAGTACGTTGTTTTCCTGGTTCCTAATGGTAAATTCTATCGTTTTATGCCTGTTTTGTGCGCAACACACACATTTCGCAGTAACAGCAGCATAAGTAAGCAAAAATTGCTTCAATCGTGTTTTGAAGGCAAAAAACACCCTGTTGCGTTCCCCAATGCCAAAAAAAGTGTTCTAAAGCGCAAAAACCTTGTAGCCTGTTCTGTACAACCTGCCAGTTCAGTGGGAGGAACCCAAAAACGAATCAGATCGCCTTTGCCAAATGGAGGTCACGTACAGGGCGAAGCCCTCTTATATGGGCTTTAAACAGCGTACCGGACAGTTGCAGTAGCACTCTTAGCTGGTCCACTGTGTATACCTGGCGTAATCTAGTGGGAAGTGATCATTTCGCGCAACTTCTCACCTTGGCTCCTCACGGTCTTCACTCCGGAACCGATTCAACGGCAATAAAACCTTCTTAACACCACTCACATACACAGAAAGGTCAGTGATTCGTGGCACTTTCAGCGCAATTCGCTCATTTCTCCGGCACTGATGAGGGTGGTGGCATGAGTAGCCGAAATCCGGTGGCGGAAACCTTCCAAAGCACCCAAGCACGGATCGGGGGGCGAAGAACAGCAGTAAGGCGGCCTACGATGTGACGAACGCACTTCCCAAGCTCCGTTAATAGACTGAATTAAAACTGTTTTGCTTCCAATTTCCAATTGCCTTGCGCGCCGATTTCCATTTACCTGTGCTTCCAGCGAGTGTGCGGAGCGGTTGCAGCCGAACCCACCTGCAATATTAGCGCATAGTTTGAAAGCTCGAATTTCATCTCGTTCCCTATTTAAATTTGGGTCACCGTGTAGGGCCAGTTTATCGGGTGTATGTTGCAAGTGTTCATCGGTTTTCCCTCATTCAAAATTTTTAAATCATTTTTGTTCTAAACCCGCCTGAAGCCAATCCTGTCTCTGCGCCGTTCCGTTAGAAGCTGATTAGCAAAGGGCGCCAAATAACGAAGGATGGCAACAGACCCGTGTAAGTTAATCCTTGTCTGTTGCGCACGGAATGGGCTGTAGGGAAACGCTGTACTAGACAGGGCCGCATTAAGGGCGTTTTTAAGATTTTGCTTCTGATCTCAATGGCCCCTCGATTTTGTTCTTGTCGGAAAGTCAAACACGCTGTTCTCCTCTGCAATTTAATTCCAACACGGATTAACACCATATCAACACTAATTAACATATACAACTACAAATAGATAAATAATACAGTATTTGGGTGTTGAATCGAAATCAACCAATCGAACAAGCATTGATTAGTTCATATGCATATATACAGCGTAGTTAATCCCCTAAATAACTACACAGTTAATATTTCAACCAAAATATTAACTTAAAAATAAAATTATCCAACACTTAAGTAAGTTAATCTCCAACATCTATACAGTTTTCCGTTAGAATTTGCCATAAATAAACTATAACAAGAGGAATGATTGGGCTCAGTGTTGTCTAGACTCTTTGGTTGATGTTAGTTGGTCTCTTTAAAGGCGACGAATATGAAGCTTCCATGCCTCAATGTCAGGCTGAATATAAAATAGAGATTTTTGGCGTTTCTTACGCTAGCAAGTCTTCGGCTTTTTTTTTGGTCTCCTTCTTCAACGTGCTGGGATTGTTGGGGCCCGTAGTGGCGGACACGGTGGGCAAGTTTTCCGCTGCCGCCGCCCTTTCAGCTAGAAACCGCTCAAAGTCGCTTGAAGTCACCGACTCTTCGCCGCCGCCCTAAGAGAAAATGAAATTTAAAGCATAAGGCAATGCCAATGCGGATATAGAGACAAATTACAGTGCAGTGAGAGAGCAGAGAAAAACATGATTTAACTCACCGTCTTGCCTAGCCAGTTGGCCATTTCGTTCAGCTCCCTGTCTTCGTCAGTCTAAAGCGTACGACACACATAGATATACATAAAAAGCCCCTTTAAAATAAATAATAAAAAAACATCCACTGCAAACGATCAAGGCGCTGAAAGCGACCCAACATTAAATAAAAGATAGATAAAAATGCAAGAGAGGCATAAATATAATGGGGCACTCACCTCGGGCGCCCGAGTAGCCGAACTGGTTCCTCCCGGAATTTGGTCAGGATTTATATTGTCCTTGTAGGTACTGCCACTGGAAAAAAATAGAACAATTCCAATTTTCCTTACTGAATCCGGCCCTGCCGGTGGTGATCCCGACGCAAACAGACCGGCAAATAAACAAGGACCAAACCTGACCCGACTGGGTTGGTCTTTGTCTGTCGCATCGGGAATAGGCGTGTGCGGAATGACAACACCAGACAGGCCCTCATTCAGGGCATTTTTCAATTAATTAAAAATTTCCCATTAGCAATTGGAATTGGGTCTTGTTTTCCAATTAATACTTGCCTGCTCTTGGCGCTCTCGTAGGTGACGTTCCTCGACTGAGCAAACATATCAAATTCGTCGGTGCCCTTTTTGGCGTTTATTGAGAAATTCGAAGCATCGCCCAGCCCTAAACAAACTCAGCTCAGAACACGCTCAGACCATGCCCTGACCTATTACCTAGCTTGTTGACTGTATCGGCCAGGTCATCATCGTCCAAATCAATCAAACTGTCGTCGTTCTTTAGCGCCGGCTTGGCAACGGCAGTTGGCGGAATGGCGTTTGCGATCACTGCTGAGGCGCTGGGCACAGTATTCTTCTCCCATCTGCTGTACCTGCAACCCCACTTACTGGGTTAAAAGGGCCAACTAAACACCGTAAGCCAAACCTTAAAAAGAGATTGTTCATGTCGTCGTTTATCCGCAACAGTTCCTCCGTTAGACTGTCGTTGGTGATGCGGCTGATGAGTTCCATCAGTCGCTGTTGCATGCTTTGGCAGACGGCGCGCAGTTCCTGCAACAGATCAAGCTCGTCCCGTTCTCCTCTTCCAGGTTTCACTTCGCTCAGCATCTCGCCCAGGACGTTCATGTTGCTCTGGACCACATCCAGTTCAGACTGGAGCTTCGCGCGCTGCTCCATAGTCAAAGTTCCGGTGTGATTTGGGGAGTCCAAAGGAGGAATGGGGCTACCTGAAGGTGAGGGCGCTGAAGCTGGCACCACTTCCGGCAAGTTCACGCTCTGAAATGCCCTCTAAGCAGTCGCTGCATGGCGGAAGAGGGCCGATAGTTACCTTTCGAGGGGTGTGAATGGGGGCCAAGCTGTCCAAATCTGTTGCCGGAAACTCGATGCCTTTGGCCAGCAGGTCTTTATACACGACATTGACGCCTAAAAGGTCCTGGTCCGCCTGGAAGGCACTCGCCCAACACTGGATGAGACTGAGCACTTTTTCCTGCACCACTGTGGGCGGATCGTTCTTCGGGCTTAAAAGCTTCACCTACAATAATGCGAGTTTCAATATGAGTGGAGCTTCTGATCAATCCTCCGAATCTTACCAGTTCTTGCACAAAGTCTTTGCTGCATGTCAACAGGTGGAATCTTTTGCCGCAATTCTTCACGCAAGTTTCCAGAATGGTTAGCGTGTACATGACCACTGTGTAGTCTTTGCCCGCGCTCTGGCTCAGCCTCTTTTTGATCGCTCTAATTGCGTCTTTGGACCCTTCTTCAGTTTCGTTGATAATGTCGCAGATTTCCATGTTCAACGCCCAGTTTTCTGAGGCCTGCGACGCATCGGTGGCTTGTTCTGAAAATGCGCCTCATGTTTGTTATTAATTACTACATATTTTACAGTCGTTGTGACACATCTGGTCTATTTTTTGCGAGCGATAATCACGTCATTAAGTGACGAAAATTGGTGATTTTTACTGCCACTGCTGGTTCATGCACGGTCTGAAGCAGGAGCAGTTCAGAATTTATAGCCTTCACCAGTGACCCAGACTAATTGGAGCAAAGTGTGGATAACAACCGTGACTAACTAATAGTAGTTTTCATCACCAGTTTTGGCGTTCAAAATCGGGCAAATTGGCGAGAAATTTTGTTGCCCTGTTGGCGATTTTCCTCTTTCCAAAATGCCATTTTCAGCAAATTCCAGTTGCGCTCAGACTGAACTTATTGCCATCAGCAACCGCCACTACCTAGTTTAGCAGTTGGATTTGCGTCTAAGCTGTAAATCGCTCACGCAAAATAATCCGGAGTTATGAGTCATTTCCACCTGATAACCAAACCTTGAATGTTAACCAGTGAGCCTCATTCAGGTGTTTTTCTACGTCCTGGGCCCTGTCCGGGGAAATCGCAGTAACTTTTAAAAGCCCAAGAGAACTTATTGCGTAGCAGTGGCGTACGGCCCTAAGTTGATTGGCTTACCAATTTTACTACCCACTGGCGTCGAGAAGGGGTTGCCGATGAGGGCGTTTTGGATAAAGGACATTTCACAAAAATACTACACAAAGTCTTCGGACAAAAACGCAAAAGTATACAGTCGGCTTGACACCTGCTGTCAGTGAGTCAGGTGGAATTTGACAATGGTAAACAAGGTTGGGCAAATATGGCGGTGGCTAAAAGTGGCAACGCCTATTCATGAGGTATAGGTTCAATATTACTCTCCCGAAAGAGTGAGTAATTTTGGAAATTTGTTCTAAATCAGATTCAAGTTTTTTCATTAAATTCAACACCAAAAAATAATGGAGGATCACATGAAGAGGCAAAAACTGAAACAGGCGGCAACCTGGCAGAGCAAAAAACTGCCAGTTCAGGAGGTTAGCCACTCCGATGTCTGTCACCCACAGATCACAGAGTAACCTCTGTGATCTGTGCTGTCAGCTACAGCGGTTTAGAAAAGGTTCAAAAGTAAACAAACCCAAACACTTCAAGAGTTTTGAAAGAATCCGATGTTTTTACCGCAAAATTCTTCGCTTTTCTAATGGAGCAAACTGTAGTAGTTGAGGCGCAACCTGAGCACCTGCCCACAGCGGCGGATAGCACCGAAATCCGGCCAATTAATACCGAAACAGTGCACCGGATATGTGCCGGGCAAGTAGTGCTCAGCCTGGCCATTGCCATGAAAGAGCTGGTGGAGAATGCAATAGACGCTGGGGCCACGATCATCGACATCCACCTGAAGGAATACGGCAGCGAGCTGCTGGAGGTGGCGGACAATGGTAATGGGGTACACAGAAGCAACTTTCCAGGCCTGGCGCTGAAGCACTGCACCTCCAAGTTGAGCGATTTTGACGATCTGGAGCGCCTCGGCACTCTGGGCTTCAGGGGCGAAGCCCTTAGTTCGCTCTGCGCGCTTGCTGATGTGGAAATCACCACCAAACATGGTGCTGCAGACTCAGCTGCTCGCTTAAGGTTGGTAGTTGACGGGTGTTGGGGCTTTAAGCTGGCAGGTCTTTTTCAGTTATGACCACGGAGGTAACATCGTCAGCGAAGAAGTGGCCGCAAGGCAGCGGGGAACCACAGTGAGTTTGAGGAACATTTTTGCCCCGCTGCCAGTGAGGCGAAAGGAATTCACAAAGAATCTGAAAAGAGAGTTTAGCAAAATGTGCAACCTGCTCTACGCCTACTGCCTGCTCCCGAACGGAATCAAATACTCCTGCTCGAACACCACAGCCAAAGGCGCCAAAAGCTCGTTAGTGGCCACAGAGGGACATAAAACAGTGCGGGAAAACGTTATCAGTGTGTTTGGGTTGAAGCAACTGGCTTCACTACTAGACGTGCCCCTGGCGTTGCCCGGCCCGCCCATTCTGGAGGAATATGGGGTGAATTGGGCTCCGGGAGACAAGTTGCCCTTCAGCTTCGACTTCCTGGTTTCCAGCGCCCTGCACGGGAGCGGGCGCAGCTCTGCCGACCATCAATTCTTCTACATCAACCACCGCCCGTGTGAGCCATCAAAAATCATCAAGCTGGTCAACGAGCTCTATAGACAGTTCAACAACAAGCAATACCCCTTTGTTTTCTTGGACATTGCAACCACATCTTGTATGGTGGATGTGAACATTACCCCCGATAAAAGGCAAGTGTTTTTGGAGAAGGAAAAACTGCTGCTGGCCACTGTTAAGGCCTCATTGTTGGAAGCGTTCAAAGAGCTGCCTGCCACCTTGGTGACTAATACTTTGGAAGTATCCAGGGGGCTGAAACGGCACGCCACTGAGGTTCGGGTTAAAAACACCAGCATTCTGGATACGTTCAGGAAAAGGCCCCGATCTGAGGGCTCGTCCAAGCCAGCGAAAAACGAAGCCGAGTCTAAGAGTGTGTTTAGTGCCCGAGATGTGAAAGACAGCGAACTAGAGGCCGATGAGAAGCTGGAAATGCTAGTGGAAATCGCCTGCAATTTGAGCAAACATGAGAGTGACGATGAGCCGGTTGTTGTGGACATCGACGGGCCACAGCAGGTCGAGAGCCAACGAAGGCAAGTGCCGTTGAAGCTCAACTACAGCGCGCTGAAGGAAAAGTTTCTCAACCATCTGGAAAATCAACAGCAAGCCCCCGATTCAAACACCGTGCACTTTCGTTCTGATATAGCGCCCGATGCCAATAAGGCGGCCGAAGAAGAGCTGAGCAGGCACATAGCCAAGGAGGATTTTGCAAAAATGGCAATTATTGGGCAATTTAACTTGGGCTTCATCGTGACCAAGTTGCAGCAGGATCTGTTCATTGTTGACCAGCACGCCACTGACGAGAAGTACAACTTTGAGCAGCTGCAGCGCAACAGCGTGATGGACAGTCAGAAGCTGGTCAATCCGAAGCTACTGGAGCTCACGGCAGCCGCCCGAAGCACCCTCATAGAGCACGAAGAGGTGTTCAAAAAGAACGGATTTTCGTTTGAAACGGGCGAAAACATCTTCCTGACTTCGATTCCGATTGGCGAGGGCTGCGTGCTGGGCAAGCCGGACATTGACGAGATGATCTTCATGCTTCAGGAGGACGACAGTCGGAAGACCATGTGCAGACCGTCGCGGGTTCGCTCGGTTTTCGCATCGCGCGCTTGTCGCAAGAGCGTGATGATCGGCAAGTCGCTGTCGAGGACCGAAATGAAGAATCTCGTCGCCCATATGGGCGACATTGAACAGCCATGGAACTGCCCCCATGGGCGACCCACCATGCGCCATTTGGTCAACCTCAGTTTGCTCACGGAGCAAATTGAGCCTGTTTAAAGGGACGGAGTAACGCGGAAACAAATCTGTATTATATAGAAAAACAATTTAATTTCTTTATAAAACTCCGTGTGGCAACAATAGGAAATTGAACTGTTTGGATGGAAGGAAACGTGTGGCAAATACGCACACTTCCAGAATACAAAGTTTGAAAAAATTCCATTCGCTGCTGCTACTTGCTAGAAGTACCCGATAAAACATTTATTCCCGGGAACCCGCTGCACTATTCGGCCTCCTCAACCTCCACGTCCTTGGACTTCTTCTTTTTTTTCTTCTTCTGCTTTCCCTGTAATAACACAAATTTTCTATTACTAATTTCCTGCCAGTAACGTGCCCTCAACCATGCCACGCTGTATGTTTCGCTGACTTACCTCGCCCTCAGTTACGCTGTCTTCCGTCACCTGGCTTGTGCTCGCGCCCTCTGAGGCCTCAGACTGCTTTTTATGCTTCTTTTTCTTCTTGCTGGGGGTCTCGCTCTCACCTTCTTCCGGGGCGCTTGGTGTTGCCTAGAATTTGTATATACTTTCCTGACTGTGTTTCAATTCCAAATCAAAATTAATTCCTGGGTTTCAGTCA